ACACACACACACACACACACACACATACATACATTCATACACTCACACATTCACATTTACATATAGATACATGAAAAAGAAGAACATGAGAAAAAGCATTTTAAAAGTTTACTCCAATGTAAACACATTTTTAATTGTCTATCACTTGAATCTTTATTTGAATCAGTATTTTTGAGACCAGAAATGTTCATTTGAATTCTATATTGTCATGGACTTAATTGAACTCTGTCCTGACACTTTTGATTTGTTGATTTTGTACTGTGTGATGTAATTACATTGATTAGGATTAGAATCAAAGTGACTTAACCATAGAGAGTAACTACTGCATAACAAGCTGTGTACAGGAACTGTGACACTGCACCATTGACCAGAAGTGCATCGCAAATGACCTGATGTGCTTCAAGTGAAAAGACTGTATCTGGAGATCCTGATGTGCATCTGGAGAGACCAAAACCATGGCTTGGGCCCTACTGATGTCCAAGATGACATCTCTCGAAATATGACCTGACCTGATGACGACTGAGACTCACCCTCAGGGGACCCTGAGGACCTGAGGATCTGAGAGAGAAAACTGGGGAGTGATGTTTATATTTTTGAAATCATACATTGATGAGTGCTAAATGAGAGAAATACTCATGATTCTTTCTTTTGTTTTTGTTTGTCCCTAGCTTCTGGACATCTGATGATCTATTGGACACAGCCATTTGCAGAACAAGAACCAGCCAATGAAAAAACGTCTATTGCCGATGCTATTGCTACAACCAGAACCACAACTGTGACAAATGCAATATCTGACAGACAAAACTTTGACTTTTTAGTCTGGGAGACTGAGCAACTGTTAAAACTTTGAAAATGATAAAGTATGAGTATTGTAGCGTTTTAATAGATGTTAAATAGTAGTAAAAAAGTAGAATTTGACTTCCTTTGTTGTTCATAAACATATTTCCACGTAAGAGTTAAAATCATAACTTCAAAATGCTATCCTTCTGATAGAGCAGCTAAAATATTAGAATCAGAGTTATTTTACAGCCATTAAAAGTGACAGAAGTCACAAACTAGAAATATGCCTTTGCTCAAACTGCAGCCAAACTTTAGAGTCACATTAGTGTAGAAATAGAATTAGATAAATGCATCAACCATAAAATAGAGAATATTTCTAGCCAGTGCTAATATCAAATGGTAAAGGGACCATTTCACAAACCTTTACTTCAAAAGTAGATAAAGTTCATTACAGTTTATGTACAGTTTTATTAGATACCTTCCAAATTCAATTGTGTTCAAACATGAGTGAATGTTGACAATGCAAAAAGTTCATGAGTGTAGCCTAGATTAATGCCTAGATTAATGAGATCGATTACAACCAACAGAGATTTAAAAGCATTTTGATGTATTTGTGTATAGCACAAAAACAGTATAGTAGATATTTAGATATTGAGAAGTTTAAAAGTTGTTGATTTGCCAGCACAGATTAGAGAATCAAACACCATTGTAGAATAACTGACCCCAACTCCAAACCTGATAAAATAGATTAGCTCTTGTAAGGATAATACTAATTTGATTAATGATGTACATTCATCCCAAATGCCTGACAATAATATCTTTAGATAATAAAAAGTAATAAATCACTGACCACTATAGAAGTGTAAATGTTGACCATTTGCCTTACTGTGTTCACAGTTTTATTCCTGAGAATGAGAATAGACATAGAGCAAAATCCCACTGATAATAAGCCACTGATAATGAGAGTATAAAACCATAGAGAGATTTATTAGATTAAAATGTATGTTTAAGAATATGGCTCAAAGCAAATATGCAAACAGATTAAAAAGTGATAATAATACAGTGAAATAAGATTGAGTGTAGTGTAAACAATTAGCATTAGAATAAAAGTATAGAGTAAGAAAAGTGAAATTAGCTTCTAATTTGAGACTCAGCTCGTTTTTGTCTGTGTTTTGACTGAATCTGCTGAGTTCTTGTGTGTCCAATAGTGTTTGTTTGTTTTTATTTTTGATTTGTTTTTTGTTTGTTTGTTTTTTCCCAGGATAGAGGATAAAATCCACTGATATTGATTTGATGATTATGAGTTTAATGCATACATTTTCTTTGTTTTTAATAATAATAATAATTTTTTTTTGGGAATTTTTTTTTTTCTTTTTCCACTTTATTGATTGATCAAATTGAGTGATCACATGTGATTATGTGATCAAAGGGGAGGGTGTTAGTATTAGATAGCAATATGGCCTACGTGCAGGACTGTACAAGGACTCTGATTATTTTGACCATGATATACTCGTGACAGTCTCTGTGTGACACGTATGTCTTTCGATGTGTGACGTGACAATGACTATATAAACTGTGTACTGCCTTTATTCTGTCTGAGAGAAAGAAACAAAGTAAACGAGTGGAACTTGAGAGAAACTTAAATAAACTTCCAGAGTTTGGCGCACCACGATCCGTCTCTGTCTGCTAAATCCTGACAAGAGCTTGGAGCTAAATGCTCTGCCGCCAACAGTGATTTTTGAGACCTTAGGAACCACCAGACGTCTGGCGTTTTATGAGCGCAACGCTCGACTTGGTTGATATGACACTAACGTATCTTGGAGATAAGAAGGAGCCAAACCATTTATGGCTTTATATGTTAAGATAAGGATTTTAAACTTTATTCTGTACTCCACAGGGAGCCAGTGGAGTGATTTTAACACCGGAGTTATGTGCTCCCTCCTTTTGGTACCTGTTAAGATCCTTGCTGCTGTATTCTGAACGAGCTGGAAGCTCTTCAAAGAGGTTTTAGGGCATGTTGCCAATAAAGCGTTACAGTAGTCAAGTCTTGAGGTGACAAAAGCGTGAATACGTTTTTCCGCAGCACTTTTAGGAAGGAAATTCCTAATTTTAGCGATGTTCCGTAAGTGGAAGTACGCCGTTTTAGTCGCTTGGCTTATAGAAGCCTTGAAGGAGAGTTCTTGGTCAAAAATGACTCCAAGATTCCTCACAGTGTTACTGGGTATAATACTGACATTATCGAGAGTGATTATCTGGTTAGTAAGGGAGTCACGCAGGCGCTTCGGACCGAGTTGGATCACTTCTGTCTTCTCCGGGTTGAGAAGTAGGAAATTAAGAGTCATCCACGTTTTAAGGTCCTGTATGCAGCACTGAGCTTTTTCAGCTAATCTGTCTGACTTGGCTTCATCGACAGATAAAGCTGTGTGTCATCTGCAAAGCAGTGGAAATTAATTCCATGCTTTTTAATAATGTTTCCTAACGGCAGCATGTAGAGAGTGAAAAGAATCGGTCCGAGTACCGAACCCTGCGGCACACCGAATTCCACTCCAGAATAAGGCGACGAGTTCTGAGATTCCGTTGACGAAGTGATACCGATCCGATAAATAGGATTTAAACCAGCCAAGGGCTGTTCCTCTAAGACCTATATCACATTCTAGCCTCTGCAGTAGAATGCTGTGGTCTATTGTGTCAAATGCAGCACTGGGTGTGTTGTTGGTGATGATGGAGTTATTGCGGTAGATTCACATTCACACCTTTTGTTGAGGAATTAGAAAAACCAGATCATAAACTTTACCACAGACAAGTCCAACCTGAGCAGCCTGGCTCTGCCAGACCATGTAGTAGGGCCATGCTCCAAACACCTCTGGTGGAGCATGGCGGAACTACATAGTCTGGCAGAGCCAGGCTACAACCTGAGGCCCCGGGGCCAATCGCGGACCGTTGTGTCTCCTCCTGTGGCCCTCGGCTTTGCTAATACCAGATTAGCTTCATCAACAAGTTTTTTATTCCTCTTCTACGTCATTTCTCTACCTCAGTCCTGGGTCTACAGCCTCAGTCCTGGATCTACAGCCTCAGTCCTGGATCTACAGCCTCAGTCCTGGATCTACAGCCTCAGTCCTGGATCTACAGCCTCAGTCCTGGGTCTACAGCCTCAGTCCAGTTGAACAAACAGACACAAACGCCAGGTGTTTCCAGTTATTTAAATAATTTAGTAAAAGTGTAAAAGTGGCTTCATAAAGACAGACTCTGGGCCTCGCAGTGAAAGAAAACTGCAGATGTAGAAAAATACAGCAACAAATACTTCAAACATTCAACAGAAGTAAAGATGAAGTACAAACATGCCGGACATGTGACATCACTCAGCCAATGGGATCGAGCTGTTCACTGTTGTGTTACTTTGTGTTGCTTCTGTTCGAGACACACACTTTGTTCTGATTGTGTTTTTACTTCAGTGAAATGTTTCTGTATCAAAAAATACATTGATTATCGACGTCCGCGGTTTTTACTCTAACGTGTGGAAAAGGGGCGGAGCCTAAACCCCACAGGAAGTGTTTATAAAGCAGATTCTATAACATTTATATACTGTCAAAAATATGTCCTTTTTACATTTATCTCAAAGACAACATTTCCGTTTTTGCATGTTTGGACAAGGCCTTCGTTTGCTGGATTTAAATATTAAAAATAAGTTGCAAATATATGTCTGTAAATATATTTTGTACAATATAAACAGGTCAGAGATTCCCCGTGTGTCGCTTTTACACCGTGAGGAAATAAAGAAAAAGTGCTGTATCAAAGACCTCCCGCTGGAGCTCATACGATAGGTTCAAGTCCCTTTCCAAGGTTTGCATCTGTGAGGATCAAACATTTTCGTACAAACATTTATGTTCGATGCTGGTTTTTACAAAAGAAGCGTAAACGTTAAAGTCCATTCATTATTTTACAGTGTTTTTCCCACGGTCTGTGATGAAGGAACCGTCACTCCAACTGTAGTGCTGTGGCGCCCTCTGGTGGCCACGGGAGGGAGGGCAGGATCACTGCTCCCGGAGTCTGCTGTGCTCTGAGAGACCAGAGAGAGACCAGAGAGAGAGAGACCAGAGAGAGAGACCAGAGAGAGAGACCAGAGAGAGAGGCCAGAGAGGCCAGAGAGAGAGGCCAGAGAGAGAGACCGGAGAAACTAGAGAGATAACAGAGAGAGAGACCAGAGAGAAAGACCATGGAGGCTATAGCATGTTGAGAATGGCGTTGTACATCTGGATGAGGACCAGCAGGTGAACTGGTAAACACGACTGTCGATCCTGAGCGGCCGGAGAACAGGTGAGCCACGAGAGAGCGTTATACTGCTCCAACACAAACCTGAGAGCACAGAAGGAGAGAGACCCATGAGAGCACAGAAGGAGAGAGACACGTGAGAGCACAGAAGGAGAGAGACCCATGAGAGCACAGAAGGAGAGAGACCCATGAGAGCACAGAACGAGAGAGACATGAGAGCACAGAATGAGAGAGACACTGTCACGTGCTGGGAAGGATGAGGACCCAAAATTGCAGGAATGCCAAAAAAAGTAATTTAATGATGAATAAAAAAAAGTGCAGATGAAAAAAACTCAAAAATCCAAAAACACAAGCAACCAGGAACAGGGCAGAACAGAACAGACAAAGACATGAACAACACAATGGACCAGCAACATGGGGAGAGGAGCACAGGTACATATAGACACAGACACAGGTGAAACACATCAGGGCGGGGCAGACAATCAAGACAGGAAGTACAACTAAAACCAAAACCACAGAACAATGTCAAAATAAAACAAAAATACAAAAATAAAACCCACACCATGACAGACACATAAGAGCACAGAAGGAGAGAGACCCATGAGAGCACAGAATGAGAGAGACCCATGAGAGCACAGAAGGAGAGAGACCCATGAGAGCACAGAAGGAGAGAGACCCATGAGAGCACAGAAGGAGAGAGACCCATGAGAGCACAGAAGGAGAGAGACACATGAGAGCACAGAAGGAGCGAGACCCATGGGAGCACAGATGGAGAGAGACCCATGAGAGCACAGAAGGAGAGAGACCCATGAGAGACCAGAGAGAGATCAGAGAGAGACAAGAGAGATCAGAGAGAGATATGGTATGTGTGTCTGGTACCTGAGAACGTCAGAGGTGGTCTTGGAGTCGAGTGGGTGAGGGCTTCTCTTGTTCTTTTCCGTCAGTTCGTCCGTCTGAGCGATGGAGATGTGGTGATGGAGAGAGGCCTGGAGGTCACACACATACACACACACACACACACACACACACACACACACACACACACCAGCACACGCACATCACACGCACCAGCACACTGTCAGACACATGGTTCTACTCAAGCAGGAGCACAAAAGACACCGCTCATTTGTTTTCTGGTTCAGACTGGACTCAGGATATGGGTGTAAAGAGACCAGAGAGAGAGACCAGAGAGAGACAAGAGAGAGACCAGAGAGAGACCAGAAAGAGACTAAAGAGATACCAGAGAGAGACCAGAGAGAGGCCAGAGAGAGACCAGAGAGAGACCAGAGAGAGAGACCAGAGAGAGACCAGAGAGAGGCCAGAGAGAGAGACCAGAGAGAAACCAGAGAGAGAGACCAGAGAGAGAGAGCAGAGAGAGACCAGAGAGAGAGACAAGAGAGAGAGACCAGAGAGAGACCAGAGAGAGAGACCAGAGAGAGAGACCAGAGAGAGAGACCAGAGAGAGAGACCAGAGAGAGAGACAAGAGAGAGCGACCAGAGAGAAACCAGAGAGAGAGACCAGAGAGACCAGAGAGAGAGAGCAGAGAGAGACCAGAGAGAGAGACCAGAGAGAGAGACAAGAGAGAGAGACCAGAGAGAGACCAGAGAGAGAGACCAGAGAGAGAGACCAGAGAGAGAGACCAGAGAGAGAGACAAGAGAGAGAGACCAGAGAGCGAGACCAGAGAGAGACCAGAGGGAGAGACCAGAGAGAGAGACAAGAGAGAGACCACAGAGACCAGAGAAAGACCAGAGAGAGAGTAGACTATGGTAAAGCCAAGTAGGACTGGTAGAAACATTTCTCTTGAAACTACATTTGCCAAAGGGAAACACCACACTAATCAACTGTGCTTAAACACAGGGTGTTGTGTGTTCTGTACCTTGAGGAAGAGAGGGCACTGGTTCTCAGCCTGAGGACACGAGGCCCAGAACCAGTGAGGGAGGCCGTTAGCTTGCGCGGTGGACACATAGTAGCCCAGGGCCAGAGGCTGCTGCTTCAACTCCTCCGGGGGACTGTCCCGGGACATCAGCCGCTCGCTCTGGGTCTGAGGGACCACACAGAGACATAGTGACCACAGAATAATATCATAATATCATATCATACAATAATATAATATAATCTTTAAATAATTACAACAAAAAGAATTGGAAAAAACAGAATGAAAACTTGTTAGAAAGTTGTATTTCTCTCTCTGGTCTCTCTCTGGTCTCTCTCTCTGGTCTCTCTCTTGTCTCTCTCTCTGGTCTCTCTAGTCTCTCTCTAATCTCTCTCTGGTGGTCCGCTGTAGCCGCAGCTGCCCTGGGCATCATAAGGTCCTTGTGGCGGCCCACTTTGTCTCTCCAAAGTCTCACCCTGTTGTTGTGGAAATGTGATCCCATGCCGCTGCCAGAGGGGGAGGCGGGGGAGTGAGCGGGGGAGGGCAGGGGGGAGGCGCTGGGGGAGGGGTGCAGGTTCCCCGTGATCAGCATCATGTCGTGGCCGATGTCATTCTCCAGCTCATCAGGGAACGGCAGGTCGAACATGTCGTCTGTGGAGGACAGGGTCAGGCTTTACACAGCAGCACCCCCTGCTGGCCATCTGCAGCTATGACAAGACTATCACTATAACTATAATAACTATAATAACTATAACTATAATAACTATGACTATTATAACTATAATAACTATAACTATAATAACTATGACTATTATAACTATAATAACTATAACTATAATAACTATAATAACTATAACTATAATAACTATAACTATAATAACTATAACTATATTAACTATAACAATAATAACTATAACTATAATAACTATGACTATTATAACTATAATAACTATAACTATAATAACTATAACTATAATTACTATGACTATTATAACTATAATAACTATAATAACTATATCTATAAACATAATGATTCATGTTTAATGTGTAAAAGGAGATCAGAGTGACTGTGTTCAGATGTTCTACAGGCAGGTCCAAACCACGGCCCGGGGGCCAACTGTGGCCCTCCTGTCATGTGTTGTGGTCCTCTCCCACTAAACATCCGACGTCCACTCAACCTCCAGATCACGTCAATATCGCGTCGGTCGGTCGTGACCTTTTATTTACGTCCAAACGACGTCTGTGCAAGGTGCGCATCTGGACGTAAAACAATGACCTCCCATATACGTGGATATGACGTTCAATCCCGACCTCCCCTAGACGTCGAAAACAGGTCATCGGCCGACCGACGCAGTACGTCTTGATCTAGCAATACAATATATAGGCTGTGAAGCAATATAAGTGAACCTGACGGTAGTGTAGTGGTTAAGCAAACGTTTGCAGTCTTGGTTACGTGGGTTCGAGCCCACGTGTGTGTATTATTATCTTTATATATTTGTTTTGATTTTTAACGAACAATTTTTTCCTGTTTGGTTAAAGACTAATAAACACTCAACATAGGATTACGTAGTGGCTAATAATAAAACTTGTGAATGTATGCATTTGTTGTGCTAACAATCTCAAGTTTGCAAATAAGGGGTGAGCACTTGAGATTTTATGCAAATGCATGGGTTCACAAGTTTTATTATTAGCCACTACATAATCTTATGTTGAGTGTTTATTCGTTTTTAACCAAACAGAAAAATTGTTCGCTAAAAAGTGAAAAGTCAAAAGTTTTCCGACGGGGATTTTTGAACCCGTGTCGTTGCAACTGAAGTCTCATTACGCAACCGCTACACCACCGCCAGGCATTTTTTCTGACTACTGTGAAAAAATAATAGATAACACCCTAAACAACCGACGCACACTTAGGCGAGGTTACAGCCTGACACGTGAGTCGCTCGGTCGAGGACCTGTTTTCCACGTCTAAACGACGTAAGGTGTGCATCTGGACGTAAAGCAATGTCTTCCCAGACGTTGATATGACGTTGAATCTGTACCTCTGTCGCTGCCCTGCTTTATTTACTTGGAATCATCCTCTCTAGTAAGTACACAGTCTGCACAGTTTTTAGATATAGATGTATCATTTCCACATTGAAAAGAGTTGGAGACAGAAAGTAAGTTGTTTTCTCACGTATACGTGGATTTTGTTAAGTATATTTTGTATATTATCTGTATTTTGAATTGCCAGTGCATGAATCTATAATAATAACGGCTGGCACTGCTCAGCTGAAAGGGAGACACCTTTTTTTTAGTTTTTAAGTTAAAGTTTAAAATATGATATTGTTTTTCATATTTCAAACTATTTTTAACACATTAGAATTCTTAGGTTAGACTGTCCAACAAAGTATGTGTTAAAAAAGGTTAAGATTCTTGAGTTTTAAAATAATAATTCAATTCTAAAATGTAAAGTTACTGTATATTTCACAATGGTTTATAAACTGCAAAAAGACAACAGTACTTAGTAAACTAAGTTTAAAAACAGGGAGATCAGCTTTACTATTTGGGACACTCCCATCATTTAGACACCTGTGATGTCATCAGTTGGAGTTGAGTTCAGGTGTGGGACCATGTGGGACCATGTGGGACCATAGGAGCACACAGATATTACCTGCTGCAGAAAGAGAGTTTAATGTTCGTGTATTGCTTTGTTTAATAAATTGATTTAATGTCTTCCCAGGTCTTCAATGTCAGAGACTTTCACTTCTTCTCACTGTGGCTGTTTAAATGAGCCACTACAGTTGTTATTTTTGTTATTGTTAGCTGCAAATATTAAATATCCATTCATCTGCTGGTAGCAAGCTAACTAGCGCTTGCAACTCTATTCAATGTCTTACTTTTTCTTATAAACTTTAAAACCAGCCATATGTTAATTAAAATACATTTACCTTTGCTAATGCAGTCAATTATTGTGAAATCCATAGAGTATAATTTCATGATTGTTGCAATAACTAATGTTCTGTGTGTATTCCTAATGTGTCATGTGTGTTTCAGTCTTACAGGTGTCAGACTGTGTTGAAGGTGTTCAAAGGTAAGAATCACACTCTCACACATTGATTGTTGTTCTGTATTAATATGTTGTTTTTAGAATAAACCATTATTTGGTGTATTCTCTTTGAAAACATCTATCTTTTTCTCAGATTGTTCAGCAACTCACTCAAGATGAGGGAAAAGAGCAACAAGGGGAAAATGCCCCCTCGGAAATGCAACATGTATAGAGTAATACAGGGTAAGTAGCTTTCAGGGCTCATTTGTGTCCATGTGCAAAACAAATGCACATTTGCAATTGTTTTTTACATGGAATTACTCCAATGACCAAAGCCTTATCCCAAGTTTCTCAGACTGAGTGTCTTCCAGTGTCTCGAGCTAGTGCAGTGCCAAGGTTTGTATCACATGGTGATGGATTGAGTGGTTTGAGGCATTAATAGAAAGTTATGTGTTGTTATATCACTTTGCCACATTATGTTGAAACTAAACATGTTCCACATTTTCAGGTGCTGTGCTTGGACCTTATAACGAGACTGAAGACCAAGAGAGGACACATGTTGGAACCTCAAAATTCAATAAATGCATTCTTCTGCCTTTCAGATTGTGTTTTTACATCTGGGGAACCTAGAGTGTAGCTTGTGCCTGTTTTAATACTGATCCAAACATAGGCGCTACAATCATGTTTTTTTACTTTGGCATGAACTGTTCAGTACAGTAGTGTTCATAACACTGTGCCCTGTGTGCTTTAACTTGTACTTTGATGTAGAGAAACATGATTTTTAATGCAGCTCCATTTGCAATAATGACTGATATCCTTCTACTACAGTTGTTCTAATGATTTTTGAATGCTGTGTTTATCGTTTATTGCCCAGAGTCAGAACTAAACATGATAAAGCTGCATTTCAGATTCACAAGGCTAAAATCTGGAACGGTCTTCCTGGAAATGTGAGACAGGCTTCTTCTTTGACAATGTTAAAATCCAAGTTTAAAACACTTCTGTTTCTGCTTCAACTGAGAGATTTTATGAGAGATTTTATTTGTTTCTTTTTAATTTACAGTCAATATTTATAATTGTAATGCCTTGTTTGATTGTTTCTATCTTTTGTTCAGTGCTTTGAGTTTCCTTTTGTTTTGACTGTGCTATACAAATAAACTTGCCTTGCCTATTACAAAAAGTATGTCTCGACCAGTGAGTGATTCTGCAGAGGTTAAGTATGTCAATAGGACTGTAAATGGACGTCATATAAACGTCAATATTTTGGTCATATAAGACGTCGAGAGGACGTCGGACCCGACCGGTTCTGTACCACATTGCAACCTTGAATGAAGTGGCCGCGACGTCATTTGAACGTCCAGATAACGTCCAGATGACGGCATGCATTAGTTAGCTTTAGTTAGCAATAGCACTTCTTAAAAGCTGTACAACAACCACTGATGAAATGGTACAAAAGCAATGCACTGCTAACAAAATATATAACTGAAAGATTACCGCTAGTTCCACGTCCCAATGTCCGAGCGCAGATAGTCCGCGCGCAGATAGTCCCAGCGTAGATAGTCCGAGCGCAGATAGTCCCAGCGTAGATAGTCCGAGCGCAGATAGTCCGAGCGCAGATAGTCCGAGCGTAGATAGTCCGAGCGTAGATAGTCCGAGCGCAGATAGTCCGAGCATAGATCGTCCGCGCGCAGATAGTCCCAGCGTAGATAGTCCGAGCGCAGATAGTCCGAGCGTAGATAGTCCGAGCGTAGATAGTCCGAGCGTAGATAATCCGAGCGTACAATAGTCCGAGCGTAGATAGTCCGAGCGTAGATAGTCCGAGCGTAGATAGTCCGAGCGTAGATAGTCCGAGCGTAGGATAGTCCGAGCGTAGATAGTCCGAGCGTAGATAGTCCGAGCGTAGATAGTCCGAGCGTAGATAGTCCGAGCGTAGATAGTCCGAGCGTAGATAGTCCGAGCGTAGATAGTCCGAGCGTAGGATAGGCCGAGCGTAGATAGTCCGAGCGCAGATAGTCCGAGCGCAGATAGTCCGAGCGTAGATAGTCAGAGCGTAGATAGTCCGAGCGTAGATAGTCCGAGCGTAGATAGTCCGAGCGTAGGATAGTCCGAGCGCAGATAGTCCGAGCGCAGATAGTCCGAGCGTAGATAGTCCGAGCGTAGATAGTCCGAGCGTAGGATAGTCCGAGCGTAGGATAGTCCGAGCGTAGATAGTCCGAGCGTAGATAGTCCGAGCGTAGGATAGTCCGAGCGTAGATAGTCCGAGCACAGATAGTCCGAGCGTAGATAGTCCGAGCACAGATAGTCTGAGCGTAGATAGTCCGAGGCGGTCCTGCAGGTCTCTCCCACAGACAAGTCTCTCCAGAGGATACGATGTAAGCTAGCTATGTTCAGGGCTTGATTTCTTCTTTGATCATGTTTTGGCTTTAGTTCCCTCTTCTCTTCCTCACTGTTGTGTGGTTTGGGCTGTTCTGCTGTGTCTGCAGTTACAGCCAGAGGAGTTATAGCCACTTATGCTAACATGCTACTGTGTTTAGCAGCGCTGTAGAGGCAAGAGGGGGCAGGAAGGCCTCCTCATGGCGTGACCAGGAAGTACCATCACATTAGTCCAGACCATAACCAGGAAGTACCATCACAGTAGTCCTGGTCTCAGGTCTCTGCACCTGTGAGAATAGACTGTGAAACACACTGCTACTGTGTGATAGAAGTCATATTGACTCCGGTAAACCAGAGTGGTTTACCGGAGTCTATATGACAACAGTGCAGTGAGGTTTGCATGACATCATAAACAGCTGAGGCGTTACACTGGGATTACAGTGTGACTTTCTCTTCTGCATATGTGTAATCTCCTAATCTGCTCCTGTTCAGACAATCCTTCATAGAGTTGTTCTAATCCGTCAGAACAGTCTTTGCCAACACCTGCTCCAGAAGGAGGAGAGTAAACACAGGGGGGGGGCAGGGGGAGACAGGGGAGAGGAGGGGAGGAGGCAGGGGGGGGGGGGGGGGGGGGGGGGGGGGTTGCAGATGTGGATTATGTTTTATGTGACGTTATCTCGGATCTCTCTTTGGTCTCTCTCTGGTCCCTGTGCTCCTCAGAGTCCCAGCAGGAGGCCAGTCCCTGTGCTCCTCAGTGTCCCAGCAGGAGGCCAGTCCCTGTGGTCCTCAGAGTTGGTACCTATGGCTCTAACATGTCACAGATTTTAGGAATAGACTAGATTAGTTTATAGTTTTAAAGCTGCACTTACTGACTATATTTTTGTATTCATTACAAAAGTGCTATCCATGTCCGTGCAGTGCAGTGGGATAAACGTCCTTTTGAAGAATAAGTAGTGAAGATTTGTGCTGGCTTGACATTATATTTTAGATCGAGTTTTGATGAAACAAGGAAGAGAATGTGTTTCGGGTCGCAGATTGTGACCAATCACAGCGGACCACTGGCCCCCACTTTCGTGAGAAATCTAGAGGTCCGTCGTTAGCACAGACAGCTGAGTTAGCACAACAAGCGGCGGAGCTAACTTGAAACTTCCTCGTCTCCGTCACCGGTTACTGCTTACTCAGCGAAACAGCCAAAAGAAAGTCTCGTTCCTCCGTGCTTCCCGGTTCTATCGTTCTATGGTCACGCCATCCACGTGAAAATCCATTTATCCATAATATCCATATTGGAAGATGCTAGCTCCGTCAACAACAGTGGGTGTGTGTCGGGGGCGATAGTTTCGTGGGTGCGGGGAGGGGAGCAGAAAGAGCGAGGCCAGCGAGTCCGCGGCTTCAAAATCCCAAAGTCAGTTAGTGCAGCTTTAAATAAATAGATAATCTCATCATTTTTGAATAAGACATAACTTTGGCTCCACAAACCTCTCAGCTCCCATTGGCTCCAGTCGGGTCTAGTCTGGTCTGGTCTGGTCTGGTCTGGTCTGGTCTTGCGCAGGTTCAGATTTCCCCGGTGTAATCCGGACTTTGAAAGGACAAACCCAGAGAAAACAGTGGCGTCTGTAATCTGCTCCGTGTCAGACCCACCTTTTTACAACAGGGATTATTGTTGTGATAAAGTGCCACAGATGCCAGACGCAGAGATAAACGCCGCTCCCCGACGCCTCCGGCCTCGCTGCAGCGTTTACACCTGTAGCTGTGTTTAAGGAACAGACTAGGTCGAGAGGCAGGTTAAAAGCCGGGTCAAGATGATACGCCGCCGTGTCAGAAAAGACCTTTAAGTGTCTGTGGGAGCGGTCTATTCCCTGGACTCTACAGTCTGTGGGAGCGGTCTATTCACTGGACTCTACAGTCTGTGGGAGCGGTCTATTCACTGGACTCTACAGTCTGTGGGAGCGGTCTATTCACTGGACTCTACAGTCTGTGGGAGCGGTCTATTCACTGGACTCTACAGTTAGTGTCCAACAGAAAGGATTGGTGATGATCAGGACACTTTAGCATTCTACAACATGTATGGACATTTTATTCTGTGTGTGCTTTATATTCTCCATGTGTTAAATGTTGATTCTCTGACCTGTGTTGGTGATCTCAATGGTTTTGTTAAGTCTCTGAGATGACTTCTGTTGTGACCTAGGGCTATACAAGAATACATTGTATTGTATTGTATTGTACATTGAGTTCTATTGGGAACAAGTCTGTGTAGCCCACCTGATTTTAGACTGGTTTGGTGCAGCACCAGGAGAATCCCCCGAGCACATGGTCCTTCAGCTCTGAGCTGTACCACTCTATCCACATATTATTATAGATCCAGGAGGAGACCCCTCAGACCCCGACACTGGCCCGACCCCTGCAGTGATCGATAATACTGAGTTCTAACCAGGGTTGAGCTGGTCCTGAAAAAACACCACGGAAGCAGAGGATGGTGTTTATTTTTTTATTGTTTTTTTATTCAGAGATAAATGATGTCGTTAAAGTTTTCGAGGTCAACGACAGCTTCAGTAAGTTTCAGAGTTTAACCTCAGCTTTAATCTGCACTGACTCTGTCTCTGTGTCTAAGTCAGCACAAATACACAACACACCTGGCTGACACACACACACACACAGCAGAAACACACACACACACACAGACACACAGCAGAAACACACACACACACAGCAGAAACACACAGACACACAGCAGAAACACACACACACACACACACAGAAGAAACACACACACACACACACACACACACACACACAGACACACAGCAGAAACACACACACACACACACACTCTCCCTCTCCCTGGTCTCTCTCAGGGTCAGGATCTATGTTTACCCCAAATGCATCAGAACACCATGGACATACTGAACACCAGAAACACCAGAAACACCAGTCGGGCAGAACCAGAACAAATGAGCCTAAGTGAGGGGCTGGTGCTGAGTGTATGAGGATGGATGGATGGATGGACGGTGGGCCTTGAGCTGTCGAGCTTCTGTCACAGAGCGTTGACGTTTGAAGAATGTGTTGAACTTGACTTTTGAGCAGTGTATGTTTGACCCTAAAGTGTTCAGCTGAAGCCATCGACCGCAGTGACCTGGACCACTGTCGTATTCAGGTCCTCGTCCCACTTCTGGTTAACTGCCTCTGGGATCCTGATGAGAACCTTAAAGGGGCATGTTCCGCAGGAGGGCGTTTCTGTCACTTGGTTTTAGGTTTAATTTAAATATAAACAACTTACATTTTCTTTGTAGATGAAGCTTAAAAACAGGAGCAGAAAGTGCAGTAGTCGCTAAATATTCAAGATTATTTACATAGTGGGGCGGCTGTAAAGTGCCAGACTGTGGTTGTGTCCTTGTGCAAGACGCTTCCCCCACATTAGAATGTGTGTATGTGTGTGTGTGTGTGTGTGTGTGTGTGTGTGTGTGTGTGTGTGTGTGTGTGTGTGTTGGTGGTGGGAGGGGCCGTGGCACAGACTGGTTGCTAAGAAAGAATGGATAAAGTCATGGGAAGGGTCCGTGAGCGTCCTGAGAAGCACTAAAGCTGTAGAGCATTGGCCTTTGAGCCTGAAGGTTGTGGGTTTGAGTCCACCGCAGAACCTTCTCCACCAACTCCTCTGATGTCTGCTGTTGTTGTGTACTTTGGCAAGACACTTTACCCACTTTGCCTTTAAGGAGCGCAAAAGTAATGTTTCTTCTTCTCCTTCTTCTTCTTCTCCTTCTTCTTCTTTTCTTCTTCTCCTTCTCCTTTTTCTTCTCCTTTTTCTTCTCCTGCTTCTTCTCCTTCTTCTCCTTCTCCTTCTTCTTCTTCTCCTTCTTCTCCATCTTCTTCTTCTCCTTCTTCTTCTCCTTCCTCTTCTTCTCCTTCTCCTTCTTCTCCTTCTCCTTCTTCTCCTTCTTCTTCCTCTTCTTCTTCAGTCTTTCCGAGGTCAACGACAGCAGGAATAACTTTCGCATTTTAACCTGAGCTTTAATCTGCACTGACTCCATGACTGTCTCTGTCTCTGTTTTCTATGGGACGAGGTGTCAGCACAGATACACACAACACCGGGCTGACACACACACAGAGAGAGATAGACACACACACACACACAACACCGGGCTGACACACACACACACAGAGACACACACACACACACACACACACGGACACACACACAGATCACCTTACGCAGCACTTCACCTTCACAACAATCTAATCTCAGAAACAACAATGGAAACAAAGACTGAGACATTTCATATTCAGCAGAGATAAGAGGGAGAGAGAGAGAGAGAGGGGGGGAGAGGGAGAGGGGGGGAGAGAGGGAGAGAGGGGAAGGGGGGAGAGGGAGAGGAGGAGACAAGGAGGGAGACAGGTAAGACCTACTCTACTCTACTCTACCCTAACCTACTCTACCCTACCGTACTCTACCCTACCCTACTCTACTCTATCCTACTCTACCCTGCCCTACCCTACTCTACCCTACCCTACTCTACTCTACCCTACCCTACTCTACTCTACTCTACCCTACCCTACTCTACTCTACCCTACTCTACTCTATCCTACTCTACCCTGCCCTACCCTACTCTACCCTACCCTACTCTACTCTACCCTACCCTGCTCTACTCTACTCTACCCTACCCTACCCTACTCTACTCTACCCTACTCTACTCTATCCTACTCTACCCTGCCCTACCCTACTCTACCCTATCCTATCCTACTCTACCCTACCCTACTCTGCTCTACTCTACTCTACTCTACCCTATCCTACTCTACTCTATCCTACTCTACCCTGCCCTACCCTATCCTACTCTACTCTACCCTACCCTACTCTGCTCTACTCTACTCTACCCTACCCTACTCTACTCTACCCTACTCTACTCTATCCTACCCTACTCTACTCTATCCTACTCTACCCTACTCTACCCTGCCCTACCCTACCCTACTCTACTCTACCCTACCCTACTCTACCCTACCCTACCCTACTCTACTCTACTCTACCCTACTCTACTCTATCCTACTCTACTCTACTCTACCCTACGCTTCCCTACTCTACCCTACCCTACCCTACCCTACCCTACTCTACTCTACCCTACCCTACTCTACTCTACTCTACCCTACCCTACCCTAGCCTACTCTACTCTGGTCTATAAGAATAGTTGTAAAAGGCTGTCACAGTCTCATGTTCAGTGTATTTTATAGAACCCTGTGCTCTTTATCTGTCGCTGCACACAGAGCACCTTTTGTGAGTTCTAATGTGGTTTTTATCCTGCACATGGCAAATAAAATCAATCTGAATCTGATTTTTTCATGAAGTGAATGTCTGTGATTTAAATATTTATTTCCTTTTCTCTTTCTCAGCTCTGAGATTTGTCTTTGGAATGAACTGTGCCACACAAATAACCTTTCCAAACCCAGCGATGAAGAAGAAGAAGACATCCGCTCCCAACAACGGCACTATTCTCCGGAGTCAGAGTCATGTGAGTGTTTCTGCAGAAGAGGAAACGTTCTGAGCCTCAGGACCACAGCGTCCAACGGGAAATCTACATTAATGAGCCAGATCTGTGAGAAAAAAACATGTTTTTTCAGGTATTCAAGATTTTAGGGACAACACAGTCACTGCCACTCCCTGATTAGAGAGAGAGAGAGAGAGAGAGAGAGAGAGAGGGAGAGAGAGGGAGAGAGAGAGAGACCAGAGGGAGAGACCAGAGGGAGAGAGACTAGAGAGAGAGAGAGAGACCCGCGAGAGAGAGAGACCAGAGGGAGAGAGAGACCAGAGAGAGAGACCAGAGAGAGAAAGAGAGAGAGACCAGAGGGAGAGAGAGAGACCAGAGAGAGAGAGAGAGGGACCAGAGGGAGAGAGAGAGAGCGACCAGAGAGAGAGAGAGAGAGACCAGAGGGAGAGAGAGAGAGAGACCAGAGAGAGAGAGAGAGGGACCAGAGGGAGAGAGAGAGAGCGACCAGAGAGAGTGAGAGAGAGAGACATCAAAGAGTCCAGAGAGAGAGAAAATTAGATAAACTAACTCAGACACACATACACACACTAACACACAGACACACACTAACACACACACAGACACACACATACACACTAACACACACACAGACACACTAACACACACAGACACACACACACACTAACACACTAACACACACACACACACTAACACACACACGCACACACGCTAACACACACTAACACATACACACACACAGACACACACTAACACAAAGACACACACTAACACACACACACACAGACACACGCTAACAAACACACAGACGCACAATTTCGGGTGTCTTCAGGTCTTTCTCGTCCGAGCCTGAAATGGAGAAATCCTCGTTCACAAACTTCCACTTCATACTTTTTGATCCTGACTTTTTCTTGTGTGTGTTTTTCTAAAGAACACACAACACCTACATTTAACACTGTTTTAAACTAGTTTTTGTTTCCGTCTCAGAAAAATATGTGGCTCAGGAGTCGACACGCCCCGGCAGGTTTCAGAGACACCGCACTGCAAAAAAGGATCAAATAAGTCACAAATTTGGAAAAATATCTTAATTTTAGCACTTTTGGATTATTTTCCGTCACTTTCTGCAGTGTCCATGTGTAGACAGCGGTTGTTCCATTCTGATGTGTGTTACTCTGATGTGACGCAGAGACACACACAAGAGACTCTTATCTTTCCAACTTTTTCCAACATACATTTTTCTATCCAACGTAGAAAGAAAAATACAATGGATGTAAATACTGTAAATGACAATATAAACTTAAAATACCAAAAACTAAAACCATTTAAATGAGTCGATATGTTGTGCTGGATTCACGGATTTGAATTACAGAAATAAATACTCTTTATGTTGACAAGATTAAGTGTATATTTATATAAGGCCGCAGTGACCCGTCGTCCTCTGGAGTCGGAAGGAATTAAAAAAACGCAGAAATGAACACGAATAGTTCATTTTCAAAAACAGAAAGTGCCGTAGGAAAGAAACGGCAGGTCGTAAATCACACATTTCAACAAAAAGCAACAAACATGGACATAACGAGTGTAAACAAGAGACAATGTTGACATTAAACGGACACTTTGAGACAAACGGAGGCAGCGGGAAAACCAAAACACTGTAGAAAGAAAACAGAAGAACACGGAAAAGGCCGGAGTTAGTCTGAAAACGCAGAGAAAGTGTCGGATCTGGAGTCATTTCTGCGACGGAGAAACAGAAGCTGCGGCGGGAGACGGGACGTGCACTGCAGAAAACGGTCAAATATATGAAGTAAAATGTGCCTGAATTGAGCGGTTTTTATCTTAATTTTAACACATTCTGACCTTTTTTAATAAAGGGACAAAGCTGAAGACCAAAAATATCCTCTCTTCTTTGGAGAGCTCTGACACGGTACATTACGTTATAAAGTTATTAGTGTAGCCCCTCTGCCTTCTTCATTAGTATTATATTTCAATTACCTACATTATGTATTTGTTTGTTTAATCATTATTTAGAAGAAGAAGAAGAATATGCTTTATTGATCTCACAATGGAGAAATCACACACTGTTCACACACTAGAACACACTCCGCATCGAGGCAGCTTGTTGCTTAAATATCATTGAATGTGGAGGGTCCAGTCTCGGTCCTGTCTCAGTCCAGTCTCGGCCCAGTCTTAGTCCCATCTGCTCTGTTTCTCGCTGGATTCACAGGTCCAGGTCCAGAACTGTTTCTTACACTTCGACGGTGTCAAAACCCCGTGTTACACCGTGTTACATCATGACTCAGAGCCGACCTCAGCCTGACAAGCCGGATAATGCCGTGGTTAGTGAAAGACAAGCGGACTTATCAGGGCCATCTGTTGGACCAACTCCAGACAAAGTGAAATTATCAATGCTCTCGACACATCGCTGCTGCTCCAGGCTCTGGCCTCGTGTCAACCCCGCTGACACCATGTGATGCCTCTCTCCGCGAACTCGCCACGGTCATTCATCTCCCATGAGTGAAGGGAGAAGAAAGCATGTGCCCAGAAGTGTAATGTGTGGCCAAAACTAAATGTTTTAGAGTTGGGGCCAATAAGTCAAAATGCACAAAACAAGTCCCAGGTTTCAAGATGTCTGACCCTGGTCTTTCCAAGATGTCTGCCCCTGGTCTTTCCAAGATGTCTGCCCCTGGTCTCTCCAAGATGTCTGCCCCCGGTCTCTCCAAGGTCAGCACTAGATCATATACGGAATCGGGACGGAAGCGGAAGTAAATAAAACAAACTACCTATTCATGCCGAAACTTAACCAGCCATTCCCATAAAATAACCCCAACCCATCCTTAACCCTAACCTTAACCATCTTACTCAGACGCCTAAGACTTAACCAGTCACCATTTACGGACTTTTTAGTCTAAAACTAATTTGAAAAAAGGATTGTTACTTCTGGTTTCGTCCCGATTCCGTATATGATCTAGTGCCGACCGTCTCTCCAAGATGTCTCCCCATGGTCTCTTCAAGATGTCTGCCTCTATGGTTTGTCCCATACTGTATGTAGGTGAACCTGCTAGCTCAATGAAACCCGATAGGGAAGTGCTCAAGAACGCGACACATCTCTCCATGATGTTAGCGACACATCTCTCCGTGATGTTAGCGACACATCTGTCCACGGTACGGCGTGAAGCTAACGCCGCATAAGAAATGGGCTCCGGCTAGTTTATGTTCAAAATGGCTTCTTACGCATCAAGGCTTAAAACGGTACGACACGCCTCAACCAGTCCACTCTAGGTTTCTGGTCTATTGTTCTGACCAATCAGAGAGCAGAGATAGTTGCAAAAAAGTTTGGATTTATAGAAAACCGATGGATTTCAAAAGAAAGACGACTAGAGACACAAGAATCCTCTTTTGTGAAATCTCCTTTCAGCCCGTGTGAAGGTGTGGGGCCTGGATCTGTACGTCACTCCTGCTGCCGTGGTGCCAGAGAAGAAGTCGGTCCATCCGGAGTTTCTGACACG